AGCATCCTAGTGACGGCCCACCTGCATCCGCTTGAGCTGCATGAACCTGCTGAACGAGTACTGTCTCATGGATTTTTTTTTCTCGCGGAAGGTCCCAGAGCCTATGTGGGAGAAACCTGCACGAAGCTTGCCGCACGAAATCTCGTGCCTTCGCACGACGCCGCCACTTGCATCTCCAAAATCCGCCCAGTCTCTGGTGGCGACGATGTTCCTGCATCGACTGTGGACGACCCGCTGCCAGACTGCAGGCTCAGAGTCACCGTTCGCGAGACCTCTTGAGCTCGATGATCCAGTCGCGGAGCTTCGGAACCTCAGCTGACACAACGAGACCACGTCGACCTTTATCACTTTGCATCCGAATCCTCTGACCATCTCTCAACTGCAATCCTTACCTGACCTGCAGCATGTGCATAAATGCAGGATCGGGCAGATCAGTTCTTGAAGCAATTACCGGTCACGCCTGCATGTGTCTTGCAGGAGAGAGCACGGCCCTGAATTCTCAGCGACATGGAGAGAGGTCTCCAGATGTCTCCAGCTCTGCGCTCGGTATAGAACTTGCTCACCTCTTGGCTCGACTCCCGGGGCTGCCACATCTTTGGCCGTCAAGGTGACGCATACCAAGTCGTTCGCATGCCCACAGACCTTCGCACGATCTTTAAGTCGGCCGTGAAGGCTGCATAGGCAGACGCCAAGCATGACAACGAACCACGACATGCATCCCAGCTGCCACATACTTGACCTTGGCTGCAGCATAACGTTTCTTGCAGCCCACATTGCCTCCCAATACTGCTGTCGAAACATGGGCGTGATCCACGTGGGTGACATCCAAGGAACAAATTCGGCTGTTCGCCGCGCAAACTCCTCACCCCGGCGTGAGAGACCGGAGTCGCCGCCTATACGCATCTCAACATTGAAATCACCTGGGATGCTGGCACTAGTCTAGCAGCGAGCGAAACAATAATCCGACAAGGACGACGCAGCTCATCCTGTAACACAGCCGCTATCTCGCAGCGAACCGAACGAACTTAGTCGTGTCGTGGCAGTGACCGTGGCGCTACCAGCATACAGCCTTCTCGAAGCCAAGGTCACCCTACAAACAAGCTACGAAAAGCCGAGTGTCACTTTTGAACCCAGGCTCTGTATCACTAGTGCATCAACTTGAGGCACCAGCCGAAGTTCAGAAAAAGACTTCAGCACCCATGGCAAGCACATGTAGATCGCATTTCAGTACTCCGAATGCAGGCGTGGGCAGTTCGACCCGTTTCAAACAGACATGTGCAACCGCAGGCAAGTCGACGAACTGTTTTCACGTATGAAAAGACATGGGTTACGAATCTGACGACCATGCTTCGACAACTACTTCTGCAGCAGTCAAGGGACTCTCTCCGTGTCTGGCAAGGTAGACCGTGTGTTGGAAAGGGTGCAGGTTCGACAGGAAGTGGCCTCGTGGCAAGGCGAGCTGAAGCATCGCAAGGCTTTCGCAAGGGCAAGGGTACCACTACGTACCACTGTTGCCACTGAGTCGACACTAGGCTTGGGCAGGGCCCAAACAAATTGCAGGCGAGCAGCAAACCTGTGATCCAACAAACGAACGCATCATCTTGTTCACGACCTAGGGGGGGTTGCTTTTTCACGCGGCCGCCAGACTGTGTGCTGCACTTCCGGTGCCGGATGAAGCTTTTTGCAGCAAAGTCGATCTGCTTCCTGTTTTGCGATGTTATGAGTCGGGAGCTGTAGCTGATGCTCCGCTGACGACTGCCGAGTGGCCATCTTCTGGTTGTAGTTCCTGGGATGCACCCATCGATCGGAGCTCTGACACAACAGTTACATGCGGTCGGCGACTTGTCTGGGTGAAGTCCAACGACGACAAGCCTCCTAAACCTCAAGCCGAAGGCTCATGAGATGGATGAAAGGAGTCTGGTCTTCAGACTGGTCCATCTGGATGGGCACATAATGGTCCTCACGAGATGTCTACGAATCTTGGCTGCCAGATTGCATACCTTCAAGAAGTCTCGCACGCGCTCGGTTACGACAACTCATCTCACGTCACACCGTTGAACGGAAGTTACTCCACCACGCTGCAACTTTACAATGGTGAGCCCGTGAAAGTCCTGGTAGTCTGCAATGAGGTCCCTGCTCTCTTCCAGGGTCATGCCGCGGTAGGCCGCAAGATCTGACAAATACTTTTCACCTTTGCAAGTTTGCTGCCCCTTGGGGAGATCACTAACGCTCACAGCAACTTCAAGCCAGCACTCCCTCACACTCTTCTTTAGCACAGGTCCGAGCCAGCCTTTCGGACTGTCAACCGAGATTTGGATGAAGCAGACCTCGAGCTCGACTGCAGAAGGTGCCGCTTGCCCAGCTCATGCGCGGGCCTCTGCCTGCAGCTCATCCTCGAGCTTCCGAGCCTTTCGAGTGGGGCGGCAAAGCCGGGTCCAGCAAGCGCAGCTGTTACAGACGTGTACACCATGTGCAGCGTTTTCTGAGCACTGCTCCATCCATTTCCGATGCCACTTCGTATGGGCACTCCTCAGCCGTGTAGGACAGTGTAGGCGCATCACACATCGTCGCAACTTGACTTCCAGATGCGTGGCAAAATCTCAGCCGTGTCTCCACATTGACTTCGTAGATTCGACCGTGTCACTGGAGAGAATGATGGCAAAGCCGCCGACACCCTCGACCCCACACCTTGAATTGAAGGCAAGCCTTCGCGGACGTCGCACAACGAAGCACCCGAAACCTCCATGTACAAAAGTTGCTGCAGCCGCATCTGCGCTTGCAGCACGAGGAACCAGTCCAAACCCTGCATGCGGCTTGCTACAATCTGGCTGAGGCACTGGTCGAAGTCGTAGGGGTCCGCTGTCGGCCTTACAGTCACCCGGCATACTGTGAGTCTGGCAGACTGCCCGAGTTCTCTGGTCGCCCATCATCTGCACATTTTCACATCGAGCCACGAGTTCGTCACGTCGAAGAAACCTCAGGCAAGACCCCAGCAAAAAATATTGGTAGGGAGATGCTACAGACTGCAGTGACTGCACCTCTTCCAAGCTGCAACCCTGGCAATCGGCAAAGGACGGAAGATGGCTCACGAGCCCAGAAGCTGTTTAGCGCTTCGTATAACTTGTCCTCACCATCGGGCCCCATGTACCTGATTGACATGCTCATGGCATTGAAAGCGACGCGCACGGCCTTCCGCTGTCGCTAAACCGTTTATGCTGGCTTTCCGTTTGAGGCGGGCCAGGCAAGCTCCGGAACTGTTTGGCCACATGTATTGTGCCGCTGCGAGTCTTGTTCAAAACTGTCACCCTCGGTGACCTGACATACCTCCCTTGTCGCCCTGTGAATGCCAAACGGTTTGCAGAAATTTGTTCCTAAGAGTCGGAAGTTCAGTCTTTGGCTGTGACTCTGGCGTTGCCCTGCGTTCCTTTTCCACCTCGCCCCTGGCACTGTGCTCGGGGACATTGGGCGTTATTCGCCAAGGCGCTCGGTCACTGAGAAGATCTCTGCCCGAGCACCGTGGAAGAACCTGTGATTGCGATGCAGAATCTGGCCTTGCCGCATGCCCTGTGGCCTGCATCCCATGTCCACTGACCCGCTCCAACCGAGGGAAGCGAGACAATATCAAAGTCCTTAGCCGATGCCAAGAAACTCAATGTACCGCTTGAGCTCCCTCGCGATGTGAGTCTTACCCCGCATCCTCGGATGCTCAACAGGGAAGAAGCGTGAAATACTCCTAGCAGCACATTACAAGCTGCTCTGCAGTCAGGATGTGTCTCACCAAGTCTCGGCAAACCTAAGATTGGAGCCACATGCCGTTGCGACCATTGTTGCCTGCACGACACTACAGAAAGCGGTTTTGGCGTTGAAAATCGAACCCATGCTCTCATGCACATTGGCTGATGTCAACGAAGCTACAAGCCCACTGCAGCAATACCCAGTGTCCTATGGAATGCCATGTGGCGACAGGCAAGGGCATTCGTGCCACTACTGCCCACATGAACTTGACCAAGTGCTCCAGCATGTCTCACTTGACCGGCATCATGAGATTGTATTACCGTTACGGTTATAGCATGATATTTCATGAACGATCCGCAGCGAGGTGGACGGTGTGCACGCGACTTTCTCCTTTCGCCCGTGCTGTGACTTTTAATCAGCAGCCATCCAAGTACATGTGCATCTTCGGATACAGCGAGCATAGCGACTCATTGAATCAATCGACCTGCTGACCTCAGACAAGCGGTGAAGCTTCAACAAGCTGCCCCGTAGCAAAATGTAATGCAAGAGCTCACAACAGTCTGTCTGGAGCGGAAAACCGCCCGGCAAGTCCCGCCCATTGTTGCTGCAAAGCTGCTTCGTCGCCAACCTCAACGGCGTACCAGACAAAAGACACGCAAAGACAGAACAGGTCTGGCAACGTCATGAGCGTTCGGCAGATGCAGGAAGTAGAAGCCGACAACTGTGGTGCTGGAGCCAAGGGACTCTGCAAGCTGCTGGTGCTTGAAATTCTTGGAGTCACCAAGCTTGACTGTGGGATCCATCGGGTCCACCACCTTAGCTGCGAAGAGGCTGACTGCCTGGCAGTGGCGAAAGCCAGAGGGATCGGGTTGCGGCTATGAACACCTCTCATCAGGGCTCTAAGTGCCATGACACGGACACACGTCTTTCGGAACGAGGGTCGCTAAAAACCACTCTCAGAGCTTCAAGATCTTGTGTTGGAGGTCTCGATCCCCTAGCCAGGACACAGATAGGCGGTCGAAGGACGCCAACGCCGTCAAGGCTGCAGAGACGGCCGCGACCTTCAGATACGCGCTGAAGACAGAAGGGTCAAAACAAAGATGCACATTCCATGTTGACCAATGCATCCGGCATTGCGGCCTCATCATCATCATCATCATCGTCATTAACAACCCGTGAGGCCCTCACCTTCATCATCCTCACCACCACAGTGACCTTGACTGTTGCCATCGCCAATTGAACCCTGAGGCATAACAAAGCAAGAATCAAGCCAGACCTTTTGATAATGACGGATTGGCGACTGAATTGGCTATGAAGCCCGCAAACAAGGCTTCAGCAGACGTGCAACTCCCCTGAGATTCCGCCACCTGGTCCACTGGTGCTGGCGAGGTCGTAGACGCAACGATGTGCTCCAGGAGGAGGTCCGAAGGCCGCTCCTCATCGCCTGAAGACATTTTCTCCAGCGGCGGTCACGCTCCTATCTCCCGCACGGATCAAACGATTCCGCGAAGGATCAAACCAGAGTTGTGCCGATGCTCCCCGTTAGAAACTGGGAGCAATGCTTGAAGATACTTGAACTTGAAACCCATGCGAGGCCATCTTCCTTCGGCAAGGACTTTTGCTGAGTACCGTTGGGATACGTATGCAAACCCCGCCCCCGCAAAAACCAAGTACATGTGATGTCCTGCTACTAGAGTCTGCCAAATCGCTCGACCATGGCTGCTGATTGCGCCACCACTTCCTCAGGTAGGGCATGAAGATTACCGCCCCCCGGCACGAGTACTTTGAATTGTCCACTGGGCCAAGCCGCATAAGGCGCATCGTTACCTTCACCTTAATTCAGGACTTGGCAGTGCAAGCTGCGCAGCACCACCCTCTTCGGAGGAGTACTTGGATGCTGATTCAACTGTCAAGGCGTTGAGAAAACTTGGTGTCGCGACCTGCCTTTCGTGCCTTCGAGGAGTCCGAGGAGCTGCAGTTGGGAGCTTGTCGAAAAGCCGAGCGCTGCGGTCCGCCGCCAGTGCCAGGGGGCCTTTGGGCTCCACGGCACAGTTGGGAGCAAGCTGGCTACTAGGGAGACAGGAAACAGTACGACACGAAGCACGAATGTGCAAAAACGCGCCTCCAACAGCATCCACAACCACCTCCACTGAAACTCCTGAGCAGGAGTGAGGACAGCCCGGCTTGATGCGGAACTCTTTCTGCGTGCACCGGCCTGCAATATGTACGTGGACGGATTCGTCCGTGACCTCGGTGCAGGAAGCCAAGCCAAACCAACAAGCGTCGCGAAGCATCAAAGCCGACTCGGCTGCAAACGGAGACTCGCGCCTTCTCTCCCAAATCCTGCGCAAGGCTTCTGACACAACTTGGCTACTGCGAGAGAAGCCCCGAAAACGTGGATCTGGTGCCCCTAAAAGCTCGTCCTGGCTTAGCGCTGCGGCCAGCAAAGGTAGCAAGGGCGGCAACCACTTCTGGCCTGGAAGTAGCGGGCTTCAAACGAACGTGAGCGTTGGACGCTGAAATAGATGCAACGCGTCCGTCTTGCATCAACACGGAGACACTGCCAACATCTGACGATGCATTGATGTCAACCCAAAAACGCTTACCACAATTTTCTTGCACAAGGTTGATGAGGCCCACACGATCTGTTGCGGGCTTGCCTTTGATGAGCAGCAAGGCCTGCGGCGAATCCGAAGTATTCACCAGACAAGCCATGTTTGGCACCGGCTGATACTTTCAAGCTGCTAGGGAGGGTTTTCAGCTCCTACTTCCCAGGAGCCTGAGCGTCCACGCTGCCTTCGATTGCTGTCCCGCGCCCCACGGAACCCAGGAACATAGTGCGGCCCACCGAAAGAGGGCTACCTGCGGGCGCCACAGAGCAAATTCGACTCCACAGTCAACCCCCCGCAGTGGCTCCCACAATCTCCTCAGTCTGTGCCTCGGGCAGATTGGCAGACTTGCTCAAGAGCGGCAGCTGCGTCCTCCAGACATCCACGACGAGTTCGTTTATTGCAAGACCACAAACTCTCTTACTTTTTGCCACTGCCACCACTCAACGCGCTTTGGACCCGCAAGGGTTTGTGGACACAGCCCAGCAAAACAACGACTCTCCTTTGTTCTACACCTCACAGCCTGCATTTCGACCTACAGCGTCATCTTGTCAGCTCTGACATGGCCAGAGTGGAGGAACGGAGGCCTTGACCAGCTTGCACGTGGAGATTTGGGCGTCCAGCTGCAGGTAGCGCTGATTCAAATCACCTGTGAATGCACAACTAAGGTCTTCGAATCGTCGAAAGATCGGACTGACACCGGTCACCGGAGCATGACAAGGAGGCAATAAACAGTAGTGCTCATGCCTGTCGCAGAACGAGCAGGAACGGTCCCCCGCATCGCAATGCAGCCTGCAAGCTCCGCTTCAGGGGTATCTTTCAATGACAAAACGTTCACGAACTTCTGCACACAACTGCTGCGCAGCTGTTCGTTCGTCTTTTAAGCATTCTGACCTTGAAACAACGGCTCGTACCGAATATGCTTCCGCGACAAGCAGCCGGTCTCAACGTGGAAGTACTCGGGTGCAGATGCCACGAACAGTTTCAGCCTTGCAGGGCAATCTAGGCATTAACTTCGATACTTGTACGGATTCCCGGATGCGACGGGGTTCTGTGAGAAGACCTGTCGTCTCGGAAGTTTGCACAGAGAGACAAGTCGATCCGTCGGCCGATGGACTGGAAGGAGGCCCAGACATGCCCTAACCTAATTCTGAATTCCAGAACGGGCACAACAGTCTATGATGTCCCTTCTCCCAAAAATCCTGTCGAGGCCCAGGAGAGTTTACGAGACCCGGCTTTGTCCAGGCCCAGGCACGTGCATTGCAGGCCCAGGAGTTCCAACCCACGCCGGATGGGGGCACCGTACCTGGCACCGAGGTCGGCAGCGCAGAACGACCCTGCCTTCCAGCAAAACGGAACTCCTTTGTGTTGCAATGGCTCTTGTGGCCGGCCTGTAGCAGTAGAGGTCCCCGAGCTCCGCGAATGACAGGCAACGATCCTGCAAGAGACCTCAAGGGCAGTCGATGGAGTCTCGGAAGCTGCAGCCTTCCTTCTCCTATGCTCGGTGTCTCGCACAAGAAGGTTCGTCTTCCCCGCTGCACCGATGGTCATTCAACAGTTGTATCTCTGCCCGCCGTCGTGATACACCCCAACCCCTCTTCACAAGCAAACCTCAGGCATCATCCATGCTGCTCGCATCAAACCGCGGAGTGGCCTGCAAGCTGATGGCAGAGCAGCTCCTGAGCAAAGGCCATGATTCTGCCAGCTTTGAATACCTCCCATGCAGCAGCCCCACGTGCCCCATATCGTCACTCCTCCACAGAGCTCAAGCCTTCGGCTATGTGCAGTTTACATTCTCCGGTCCCACGTTTCTCAAACTCTCCACATGGGTTGAAGATTGTTCTAGGCACTTTCTAGGCTTTCGTGTCCACATGTCTGGTCCTTTCAAGACTTGGAGGTGTCCTTACCATATCTCCTTGTGCCCTGACAACTCGGACGTGCCCCATCTACCTTCAGTGCCTCGCATCCTCCCTGTATGTCGCGGTGCTTTACATACAAGGGAGCGAGGATGAGCGAGGTGTAAGGAAGAAGCGCCGAAAAAGTAGGCATGTTTTGTTCTTTGCTGTGTTACGACCAAACGCTTGGAGTTTGTCGGCATTCACACGTAATCGGTCCTTTGACACCTCCACATGCACCTTCAGCTCACCACCAGCTGCCATCTTGTAGAAGCCAAGCTGTTGACGTCCTCTGCAAGTCTCATGCACTGCACACCCGAGCATGCGAGTCCTCCGATGCATTGCTAAGAAATTCCACTGGCCGGCCAGTGCGATTGGAAATCCGTGGCTCCCCCAAGGGCGCCTTCCAGGTCCTGTCCCTGGAAGGTCATCTTTGTGGCCTGCAGGACCGCGAGAATCTGGATTGCGTGGTGAGTACGGGATCGACCTGGCAGCTTCTCATCCCGGGCCTCGAATGGAACGAGCTCCGAGGCAAGGGCACGGTCGCACAGGCTCTGCACCTCAGCACACCGGCCAGGCATGCCCGCATGCCTCACACCGGTACATTCTGGGTTTGGTGCGGTGTGGGTGGTCTTGGCACGCAGCTGGTGCTGCGCTTCCATAACCTGAACTGCAAAGACAGTTCAACTTGATAGGACAAGCAAAACTGAAAAAGTCGAACTCACTAAATGATGCAATACCTTGGAGCCTCTGCTAGGATGCCTGGTGTCATAGGGAGCCACTTTGGGTGGGGCTGCCACAGCAACCTTCGTTTCACCAATCAAGCAGCATTGCCCAGCGTGCTTGTCACGGTCACGATCCCCTTGATCTCAACGTTTTCGGGCAGGGGGGCCTTACGACAGAAGCAGGCATAACGAAGAAAACAAGGAAGAAAGCACCTGCATGGATCCAACCTGGCCTCAGTTGCCTTGGCTTGCACGGGCTCTTGGCACTCCTTGGGCTTTGGCGCTTTGGCTCTCAGCAGCTCTTCGCGACAGCTGATACTAATGAGTATTGATGAGTGCCGAAGCTGTGGACAGTCGCCGCCAAGGAACCGATAAAGACACGAATCCTGAGCAATCGAGGCATCCAGGACAACAATCGGGATCTTTGAGTACAGATTCGAGTTGTAGTGCTCGTGGACTGCGGACTGGTGCTGGCACCATGAGCTGCCGCCCAGACACCCGAAGGATCAATCGCAAAGCGCTTCTTCCTGGCTTGGAGCATCCAGTGCGGCAGTACTTACGTTCAGAGTCCGGTGCGGTGCTGTACTGGTCGGTGTCTTTATCTGGAAACTCGGACTGCCTATTCTTGGGATGTGTATGCGGATTGCTTTGTGGCCCGGCCGCCTCCTCTTCGCATGCCTGCGTTGCATGCAATGTGCGCAGACATGGTCACATGCACACGTACTTACGACGCATGCTTGAGTGAATATGCATTCAGAATAATACAGACAGTCAGGCAGACACCCCGGCTATTACCTATCCCGCCCCGCCATCCCCGACTGCACCCACCGTTTTCCATTCCGGGGGGGTGGTCGTGCAAAACTGCATCTGGAAAGTGACTTTATTTGTTTTGCTTCTGGTACAAGCATACACATAGAGAGACACAGACAACATATAAATACCTGTATACATGTTGCTCTGGAACAGAACAGCTTCTCTTCCTTGCAGTAAGAGATAGGAAACTCGGTGAAAAAACATCACAGGGCCAGGTTTCGTTTACCAGCAGCAAGAACAATAAAAGACCTGCCACTATCGTTTGAGAAAACAATGAACAAAGATGACGCTTCTTCTCGCAAAAAAATGTGGAATGAACCAAATGTCTCTCGGCTATGCTCCAGGCGAGCTACCGCAACTACGCACCGTGAACACAGTCGCTTTTCGTCCCTTAGTAAGACGCACAAGCTCCCCGGTTCACGAAACGGAACATTATGTGACCCCCTTGCTCTTCCTTACTAGCAAGAAATTCATGAGAGTTCCAGCCATCCTTCACCATAACATGATATTAACAAATGATCTTACGCAACTAAAAAGTATGCCTTGCTCGGCGAACGAAACATTCACATCCCAACTCGAACAGTCATGTACTTAAACCAAATATACAAACATATATATATATATACACAACTATAAAAGCTCAGCATCCAGGCCTCAGGAGGAAGTCGCTCAGAGGCTCTGGGCAACCCAGAATGTTCAGCGCGGTTTTCACAGTCCTCAGGAGGCACTCCACTCGCACAAGCAGACAATTGAGGCATTTGAGGCCAGAGTGGCGCATCTTAACTGTTCTAACTGGTTGTTCATGCGGGAAAACACCTGAATCAATGGCAAACCGGGACACTGAAGCCCTCAAGCGAGAGACCAAAACCTCAATCCTTTTTATGCCGGGGCCATCAACTTCTCAACAGACACTCCCCTCGCCAAGTGACGCGCCAAACTTGTGGGTATAGAGCAGGCCCAGCTCCACAGCAGAAAGAGGCCGAGCCTCCCATTCACTTTTCACTGTGGTGGAAGTGCTTGGGACTGATGATACGATCAAGGGTTCTATGAAGTAACAGCAACACCGCCACCAGCGAATCTGCGTTGTGCTGCTCAGCATCTCCATTGCGTCAGAATAGGGCTTCAACCCCTTGTGGTCAAGGGCCAAGGCTTATTCGCCACGGACGCACAGGCAAGGCCTTCAGCAGCTGCGCCAGCTGGTCTGTGAAAGCCGTCTCGCTGGCACGGACTGTGAGGTTCAGCACCTTCCAAGGGAAGCCACCATGCTGCTACGACGGAATCGAGTGGCCCATGTCAGGCTCTGAAAAGACTGGGCCCCAATCGGAGCTTCAAGGGCCAAACTCTGCGAGTCCGCTGGGCTTACAAGGGTGGATTGGTCGCAGGCCGCGCCTGACCCTCGCGCAGATTGAGATCGCCGAGCCTGAAAAACTCAGCTTTCAACGGGACCTCAGGAGGAAAAAGTTTTAGGCATGCCTCGCCTCTGCTCATCTTTCAAGCTGGCCCCATCGAGCTGCAAGTCCTGCCACGTGCGGCCCAGGAACAATAACGCTTGATTTATAGTGACTTCCACTGCTGTCTTAAATTTCAGAACAATGAGAACTGCGGCTTCAATTCTTCACACTCTAGCTCCACGGCGTCCGAAGGACGTGAGCATAGAAAATGGGCTGGAAATGCCTGGAATTTCCCTGCACGAGAAGTAGCCCGACGGGGAGAGCCCCTCACATGTTGCAACTGAATCTTTCGGAAAAAGTCCCGTGCAAAATGACAGCCAAAAAGGTAACTAGGCACGTCCTGCTCCGGAAACGGCACAGGCTCGACAAGGGTCACACGCTGCTTCAGGCGCTGCACGGTGTCGGACGGCTTCGCAACCAATGAAAGCTTTCGGTTGCCTCAGTCAGAGAGCCGTGTGCGTTGTGGCGCACGCAGCCAAAGCCGCTACTTTGACTCGGTTCCACATGCCTATGCCGTTGATGAATATTAATATTACATTTCGCGCACGCACGCACGCACGCACGCACGCACGCACGCACGCACGCACGCACACACACACACACACACTTGATGGACTCTCGATTGACCGAAGCCAAACATGAGTTAGCACGTATTCCTGCAATCGTGGCCTAACAGCTTCCAATCAATCAGCATCTTTTCGCAAATAGTCCCCTGGTCACAGGGTGGTACACATGCAGATGCCCCTGTGAAGGGGTAACACCAAAAGCAGCAGATTAATGCGTTCCAACGCAAGCGACCAGCACTCCACACGTTCCAACATAGGCAAACGGCACTCTACGCGTTCCAACATAGGCGAACCGCATTCTACACGTTCCAATTCGGCGAACCCCACTCTACACGAGCCAACATAGGCAAGCCGCGTGCTACACGTTCCAACATAGGCGAACCGCACTCTACACGTTCCAACATAAGCAATCAGCCATCTACATGTTCCAACATGGGCGAACCGCACTCTGCAAGCTCCAACATATGCCGCGCATTCTGCCACATAGAGTAGTTGTATTATTCGGTTGTTGTGGTGCATGCATGAGTGAGGGAGAATTTAGGGAGACAGGACGGTGAGATGAAACGGTGATGAGCACATGTGCTAAAAAGGTCATAAACGATGGGAGATGCACGCTCCTGGTTTGCGTGGTGCATGCATGAGTGAAAGAGACTTGAAGGAAACAGGACGATGAAATGAAAGGGTGATGAGCACGCAAGCAAAGAGTACACAACGAAAAGAGAAGCGTGCTCCCTGTGTGCATAGTCCTCTTCACCTGGCTTTTAGGGTGTATGGTTTAGGGGGGGCAAATACCTGTTGGATGTCAATGTGTTGGTTTTCGCAGGCAAATACCAGCCCTCCCAACCATGCCTTTTTCTCACTTCGAATTCATGGCTGGAGCTCACAAGTTGTAAAGTAGTAGATGTCGCATCTAGGAGATGTTGCATTTAGGAGACACAAGTTGATGTCGCATTTAGTGGCCTGTCGCATTTAGGATCACAAGAGGACGCTATCCCGACATCGTGCAGCGGGTTTGTAGGAGAGAGTGTAGGAGAATTGTTGCACCCGGAGGTGAGCATTCATACGTCTGGCCACCGAGCTTTCTAGATAAAGCTGGAGCCTCACGACTGGCACTATGACAGATTTCCAGCCGAATGACACACTTGATGGACTCTCGATTGACCGAAGCCAAACATGAGTTAGCACGTATTCCTACAATCGCGGCCTAACAGCTTCCAATCAATCAGCATGATTTCGCTCCTCACAGTGCGTTTTCACGAGAGGACAGGTAGATGAGTGCACGGTCTTCGCTGGCCAGCGCACGCACTCATCTTACCTGCCTCTCCGCTGGCCCCCTGCTTTCTTTGAAATGGCGAATGAATAGTCCCTTGGTCACAAAGTGGTACACACACACACACTCACTCACTCACTCTCTAACAAACGCGTATGGAGGTGTGTGTACACACACACACATATGTACATATATATATATATATATATATCCATATGTATATATCCACAACAATTTGTGTACCGGCTGTCCATCTTGCTGCCCGGAGTCTGCTGGCCCCGTTGACCTGAGGCGTTCGGCATGCTTTCCGATGGTCAGACTCGACGAACTCTCGAGGCATATAGAAAACTCGAAATCGCGACCGCGGGAAGTCAGCAGGTGCAAGCAGCAGCAAGAGGGCTGCAGGCCAAGTCGCCTTGCTGTCAGTGGCAAAATGGATGTCCACAGTGACCTGCAATGCAAGTCATGCAAGAATGGCAACACTCGAAATGCCGGGACTCCCTGCAAAGTCCATTTCTCCAGCAGATCTGCAGCAAGGTTGAAACAAAGATGGCCGCGCCTTCATGATGGAATACGGAATCGACTCGACGAGAATGGAAAGACAGGCGAACTGCCTCCATCGCAACACCACTACTCAAAGCTTACCGAAACCTCAACATGGGAAGCTGTGTTTTAGCATGTGAAAGCGGGCACAGCGCGATCACTCATGACTGGCCGAGACGGGGGGGCATGTCGGCGCCAATATGCAATAATTTCCGATGTTTGTTGTCTTTGGACGAGTCCTTCAGAGGATTCAGAGGTCGAGAAAGGGGCGGGTGCTGTGTTTCAAAAGCGAGCACACAAGATCTAGTCTCCACTACGTGTATCGAAATACCTCGCACTCGATGCTGAGTGATGAGGTTTTCTGCCACCCACCCAGCTGAACAATGATGTCGCACCGCAGAGAACTTGTCCGAAGCTACCAGGAAGGGTACGATCTCCAATCCGAAAGGCCCACATGCAACTGACACCCATAAGACAGTTGGAGCTCAGTGATGAGATAGTCATGGGGCTTACGAGATATGCAAGGTCATGTTCAATTGCAGGTGCGGCCCGATGCCCGTCTGGCCTGATAATTTCTTGACCACGGCAAACTAATGCCTGCACAGGCACAGGTTTTCTTGAATGCCTGCACAGGCACAGGTTTTCTTGAATGCTACCCACCGCGGCGACGCCGAACCGCTGAACCACAGAAGGGAAGCGAGCCGACCGAGTGAGATTTTAATTGGCCGGATCATCCAAGCCTTGCTGTGGCAACAATCACGCCGCCGTGATTTCTAGAGTTGTTGACGATGGTGCCGGCTCATTCACATGCAGGCATCCGGCATCCGCCTTGAACTGCGATTCAGAGCAGATGGGAGGAGTGAGTCTACACCTCCAGCTGTTTTGCACCAGAATGGCTGCAGGATGCCCGCCTGATGCCGGTAGCCTGCGTGTAAGCTGAATCATGCAGAGAATTCTGAATTCGCCACCAGCGATCCGCAAGCACGTCCTAAAAAAACTCCATACGAAGCAGCGAACTTTCTTAAATATAATGGCATGCTTGAACAAGACTGAGAAAAAAGCATTTGGTGGCCTGGCGAGTCCGGGGAAAGGTGGTGGCATGGTCACCTGTTGAAGTCAATTCGGTACGACCCTGTCACCCTTTTCAGGCATAGATACTTGTGGTGATGTTCCAGCGCAAAACAGACCCAAGTCTTTCGGCTGTCTGGAATCTTCGCCGAGATTCTGGGATTGGGTTGAACTCCGAGGGCTTCAGGAACTGCTCGAGGTCCTTGGGGTAAAGACCTCAGCGGACATTTGGGAAAGATGCCGTGTAGCGCATACTGTACGAAGTAGGCAGGGGTTCGACCCCCACTCCTCTTCTGTTTCGGCGGATTGTGTCGGGGCCCTGGCGATGTCCGGTGGTATCGCATTGCGAGCGGCTGACAGCTCCACCGGCAACGAATGCAGCTGCGGCGCCGCCTGCCGCACGCGATATCACGCTTACTCAGGGATTACAGTCGCTAACGAAACATACTCGAAAGCCTGTCAGGTGCCACCTCCCAAAACGACACGCCCAGACACACTTCGGCTGCCTTGCCTGCAAGAACAACCCACCTGCTCCCCAAGCCACCCTTCATGAAGGGTCAATCTGCTCTTGCAGTTGCCAGTTTCCGGCCTAATGCCCGCGCAGCCCACAGGAAATCTGAGCGTTCTTCACAGTTTGTCACCACCAACGGCGATGCCCGCCTCAGTGATTAGGTGTTCTGGAAAGTAGCCAAGTGAGGTTGTACCGAGTTCAGGGGCATCTCTTCACTGACTCTTCACTAAGCTAGTGCGACTTTTGTGGTGTTTGCTGCTGCATTACTACCTCGTTTATGGCATGATGGCAAAAGCTCTAAGGAGTGTACACGAACGATTCAGCCCCTTTTGCCCCGATGGCTCTCTTGCTGCATAAATGTCGATCATGTATGGCACTGATGTTCTCTTCGTCACTTCTGTGCGTTCAGTCACCGCGGCGATGTGCTAGCCTCATGCTTCACACCAAACCCCGAATTCTGCACAATCGCTGTTTTAAGTCTTATTGTCATCATCCAGTTAGTCTCTGAGCTATATACTAGATACCTTCTCCAGATATGATATGTCACTTGCTGTCCTTCCTTCGTTCTTTCCCCCGGATTTCATGAGCCTCCCAGGCCGGAAGTTGAGGCTTTGTGTTGGCTGGTGGCCCTTTGGTCACAGGTCACAGCTAGGAGCTGGGGTCAGCCAGCTGCCGCGTGCAGCGAGCTTCTTCCATTTTTTCTCTGTTCACCGAGTCCTCGGTTCCACAATACTCGCAAGATGAGTTCAGTTCAACCTTCACGTCCACTGCTCAACTTCTCATTTTGCGATGGACACACCTCGATCTCGTTTCTTTTTGTTCTGCTGCCCAGGCCCTCATCATCTTCTGCGGCAAATCACGGGCCGCTTAAAACGAACTGTCGCCTTTATCTGCGGGGACATGCCATTTTAGGGGTCGCCAACATCCTCTACGGCATCAAAGAAGCGATCACATCCCTGCTCGAAGCCACGACATGCTGAGCGCCTTGCCTGCTAGACGCTGCTATTCTTCTGGCTGACTGCCATAGGAACCTCGACAACGGATGCTTTGCGACCATCAGCACGTCGCTGTGTGTCGGCCCTTGGCACCTACTGCTGTTGTTCGGCTGAAACGAAATAGCAGAAAGTTGTCAGCTACAGCTTCTGTGGTGGAACCCTCCTGACATCGCACCTCGCGGCAGCACGCTGCGCGGCAGGGGCCATGGGCCAGACAAGAGAGGAAAACCCTCCGCCAGGGTCTCTGGATCTTAGCACTGATCACCTTTGGTTCGAACGCACGGGAAGCTCCTGGCCTTAGCCTGAGTCCAGCAAAGTGTAAATAAAGCTAGGCTGGTGATGGCTTTTGCTTGCCTGTATCAGGTACGATGCCTTGGCACAGGCATCCGTAGTGCAATGTCTCAACATGGGCCCTTCTTCGAGCCTAGGCGCAACGCAAGTCGTTTGTGAAGCGTGTCTTGTTTTTGAACCCGCGCTTAGGCCGAGATCCTCAACACACTGACATCTACCGCATTTATGGCACGGACATTCCAATCGAGGGTCACACAAGCCGTGCCCGTTGGATGTTCCCAAGCAACAGCTTTTTGTAATAGGACTTGCAGCTCCCGTCCTGCGCACCTTCTATTTTGATGCAGCCTCTAGCGGTCGGCAAGCTTGTCCAGATCATTCCAGATCGCTACATGTTACAACTCAGGCAGCGTCGAAATCTTGTTGCAAACACAGCTGATTGCAAGGCCCAAACAGAATTGACGACAAATCGGAAAGGCGGTAGAAAGCAGTCGAGACATGCCGAGAAAATGGAGTTCGTGGCAGAAAGTTGCAGGTGGCAGACCGGACGGATGCATGGTCGCGGCAAAGCCATAGCCACGGCCTTTCACGACGAGGTCACGGGCGGAGTTGTCGCACCAAGAGACTCCCGATTTCCCAAAGGTCCGATCCGGCACAGAAGGCATGCCAAGCACTGAGAAGAAGCGCTTCCACGAGGATGTCAATATTGACATCTAAAACCTGCCTGAAGACTTTCACATCCAAGCTAAAGCCGAGAGAGCCCCAAGTTTCTGGCGCGATCCCCAAGCGCAGAGCCTCTGCTTCAGTGAACGGTTCGAAAAGCCCGAGAAAGGACGTCGCGAAGAAAATCAACCAGGCATTCAGGAAGTTCGCAACGAACAAGCGCCATACTAGCTCTGATAGGTTCTGGCCATCCAGTGCCTCTTTTGCGTACCCCTGTGCATAGGTTGCACTACACAGCCAACATAAAGCAAGCACAACCCCATGCTGTAACTCGGGGCTGATAGAAGCTGGCCGAGCACTACCGAATATCAGCCACAGCGGGGTGTACAGCCCACTGCCGGTCAGCACGAATGCCTCAAGAGTTGGAGCTATGAAACTGATGATCATGTCACCTGTGATGACAAGCTCTCCAGGAACTTGTTTCGCAACGGCTCGCTGACTGCGCATCTGTGCAACGCCGTGACACCCGCGATGAGGCCTCAATAGGTGGGTCCCCAGGATCGACAGCGCACCCCGGGCGCACTGACAAAACGACGCAGAGGGGCCTGCAGTATGTGTCTGCTGGCGTGTGCGACTTGCAGCTGTCGGACTTAAACGGGCTGGCAGACATGCTTGAAGTGCCTCAGAGCTGGCACCACGACAGAAATACGGCGCATAGCTGCACGCCATGTGGGCCTTCTATGCTGCGCAATCTCCACACTACGTGAAGTGAGCTCTGCTTTCCAGCGTGGGCATTGGCAAGCTTAGAACGTGTGTGCAGATGCCAGACAGGCCGTATATTGAGCAGCGCAGGCACCGTTTCTTCACAGGCTACGATAAGCGGTCCTCATGCCGTCAAGCAAAGCCGTGTTAGCTTGCTCGTGAGACCAGTGAGGAGTGTCTTGGTGGCTCTCTGTTCTTGACCGGTTCGATGTGCTCGGCAAGACCGCGCGAATACCGCGATAATGTGCAGAGAGCCATGTTCAGATCTATGTACAAGGATCCCGCAAGCAGGTTGCATGCCTGTGGGCACGGATCCTGAACCGATGGAAGCTCGAAGATAGGTTGTGCGACAAGTCAGGGGTGATCCTCCAACATCTGGGTTTGGACTTGCTCTTGGTCGCTTACGCGCTTTTGGAATCGGATGTCAACTGTTAATATCTTCCAGCTCCCGGCCGTGAGTCTCTGGAAATCCAACCGCTATGATCAGAGCTGTGACAATCTGTCCGCATGCCATGAGCCTCCCGCGATGGCCAGAAAAGACCGCATGCAGAGCACCTGCTTCCCGAGCCGTGCCTCGTGGCTTCGGATGTCCCGAGGAAATCGCCGAGTCGCGTGGCTGTCAGGAGGCCTCAAGGGCCAGAATTCCCAGGTTTCGGACATTCAGAGATCTCCCAGTCCCAGTTCGGCAGAGCTGCCCAGTGGACCACCGAGGCCGCCGGTGAGAACCAGGAGGCCCTTTCTCGCCCCCATGGGCTGAGGCTGGAGATCGGATAACACGAATCAGATTGGGTGAATCAGGACTACCCTTGTCGGATACCCCTCGCTATGCCTGAGCGGAGGTTCTCCCCGAGGTTGGGAACACTTCCCCTCCCATCGCCTCGCGTGTACCAGACTGAGTGATCACTTGAGGACGGAGCGCATCACTGAAACAGTCCAGTCCACGCGACCCCACCTGGAAGGTAGTGTCCAGTGCCATGCCCAGAGCTGTGCGCACACAGAAGACACTGACGATGAGAAGCACCTGCTGGCTGCGCGCTCCATTCCAAACCCTCCTTTCCTCGTCAAGGTGGTTCTTCGTGCTGAGGCTCTGGCTGAGTAGGCTTTACCCGGACTGATGCTGTAGAACATGAAATCCTCGAGCTGCAGCGCCCCAATTGGCCAAAGGAAATCAGGGGCGATTGCTGCCCAGTTCCGACCGACTCGCGATTTCCCATGCATCGACGAAGCTGGGCCTATTGTCCCGAGGCGCGCGCAGTCATGGCTTTCAGTAGGATTCCTGAAACACCCAGCAACTTCCTGCCGTACCGATCTCCCAGGTAACCTCAGTGACAAGTTGCCAAAAGCTCTGAGATGTGGCGCAGACATGGGCTGCAAACCAGCATAACCCAACACTGGCCGACACGCCAGGCGGCCAGCGATGATGAAGGCGGAGAGCGCCAGGATGCCACCAATCAACGACAGTTTCGCGAAGCCTGCCCTTAGATCCGGGGTAAGGGAGCGAAGAGATTTTCGTCCTGTAGGTGTTTTTGAAGGGAGGTCTCCAAACACGGAATAATGCGAAGAGGGCAACACCGGGAACGCAGAGACGAGCGAGACGGTGGACTTCAGAGAGAAAGCATAGCAAAGCAAGGCCCTAACCACATTCAGTCAAACACGCAAGGAGGTGGATCGAAGCAGACACACCGACAGACGAACAGACAGAAACACAGCCAGACAGACAGCCAGTCAGCCAGACAGAAACATGGCACCGACGCAGGTTCAACACGAGCTGCCGGAATGACAAGATGGCAGATCGTGTAATATCATCCAATTGCGTTCCTCTGCTTCTACGTTCTGCAGGCATGCAGTCTCGCTCAAATCAACCACGGTGCGCTCCAAATCCGTGCACCACTTGGATCTGTTTGGAGGCGTAGAAGTTGGCAGCGCTCGGAAAGAAAGCACCGAGGAACGAAGCGAGAATGCAGAACAAGTGCTGGCGCTTTACCTGACAACAAGCATCGCAGAAAGGGATTCACCATCGCTCCAACAATTCAGCTTTCCGCTGCACAGGCCTTGGAGAATCTTTTCAACTGGCACCTTTTCGCTGCAGCAGTCGGCTCCTCGGCAACAATTCATTCGGAGCCACCACGTAGCTGGGGCTTCTGCGATAAACGAAGGGCGGCTGTCAGCGGGACCGTCATGTCATGCCCACCGCAGCCTAACACTACCGGCATGCTCTCCTCGGTGGGGGAGCCGAGCCGCAGCGGAGTCACCGGAGGAAGGCGCAGGCCTGACTTTGACCCTCACAACAAGTACATGCTCACTGCCCCAGGGCAAAGCCGATGATCTAACCGCAAGTTGCAACGCTTAACTCTCTGCTACTTCGTGCAGGGCACTCCATGCCGTCCTCGGCTTCCCAAACTTCACAGCACTGCAAGCTAAAGCCCTGCTGCGAGGTATGATTCGGTATACAACGACGAAAAAATGAGAAAACCACAGTACCCTGGCCTGGGCGGTCCTTAGGGCCTCAGGGAACACCTCACGGTTCAACCGAAAATTATGGCGTATACAGGGTTTGGAATTTCGACGGCACCAGGTAAACCCTGAACAATCAGCCGGCACAGAGCTAAACAAGACACTCTGATAGTCCCGTTCTTTCATATTCAGGGCGGATCCGAAACACATCCAAGTAAGAAACACCCAAAACCTCGCTTTTTTGCCTCCCGCCTGGCTAGGACGAACCTGCGACGAGGTTCGTTACTTGAGCCTCTAGGAGGAGCTCCGGCCGATCTTGGGTCCTCCATTCAGCCCAGGCGGCTGCCGCAAGAAAACATGTGTGTGTGTGTGTGCTATGCCTGCTATGCCATATTATATCATGATAGACTATCTTAGCATTATGGTCATTACTATGTTATCTTAAGTTATCTGAGTGCTATGGCTTAGAAACCAGGCTCACCTCCCCATCGCTGGAGACCCTGAACTTCGTTTTACTTCCGCAAGTGGCATCCAACAATAAGAGAACCATACTGCCCTGGCCATTGGAGGGATTCTCTTATCCAGCATTGCCGCTGTATTCAAGTTAAGGGGACAACAAGAAAGGGGCTGCAAATTTAAAAATGCAGCCTGACAGAGTTGGCAGTCTCTGAGGCTTGGGCTTTGCACCTCCAGCTCTTCCTGTGCACTCTCCTCACTGCAGCACAGATGTGCAGGGGGTTGGGAATGCGGACTTCTGGATCACCACAACCTCTTGGAAACGAAATGACACCCCATTATTTGCGGAGTTGGGCAACCTTTTGATCCGGAGCCGCTCAACCTGCTTTGTGAGTGGCCCCAACCCTGCCCCACTTGGGTCCTTATCTATCTCCTGGGTGTTCACTGCCGACCACCGCCTGGGCAGGTTGACCAGATCAACCGACACAGGAGCAGTATTTCAGAAGTTTAGGCAAACGACGTCCTGATCACAACTGCTATTTGGAATCTGCTGAGCACCCCATTAGGTTGCAACACTTTGCAGGCACATGGTACTTCGGGTGACGCTTTGGCGGAACGATCGAGTTGCCCTGCTCACGATACTCCAAACATCCAGCAGGCATACTCTCAACCCGCTGCATGAACCGACGAATAACGAAGTACTGACGAACAAAAGTTCTTCTCTCCTTGACACAACCACCACAACCACCGCTACGCCCTCCACGCAGCCTTGTTTCAGGAAGATGTCGGCGTATGAAGCCAATACCGACCAATGGCAGAATGGACAGCGCATACCTGGAGGCGAAAGTTTGCAAGATGCGCTGAGACTCATCGCCGAGGGCACATGAGCCGCCAGGCTCCATCAGACACCCCGAAGAGGAGTAGGCCGAGGCCTGCGTCTAAGCAAAGAGCTGACAGTATTCGGCTTAGATGCGTGACCTGACCCTGTACGGCCCTACGTTTCTTGCCGCCTTGCCTGATGAAGAACATGCCAAGACCCTTTTTAACCTAAGCCTGAGTGGCGCAGGAGTCTTTACTTGCCTGTGCCGCAGGCCGAGCCAGTGTTTAGCAAGCCGACGGCCCATCCCCTGCAATCTGCTGGCATCTCCTGGGACAAAGCTGAGCAGAGTCGCGCGGTCACACGGATTTGCTCCGTTCGTCCTCCAGTACGATTACGTGGGATATGATGCCCTCCTGCGAGAAGCGCACCGTCCCGTCCAGGGCTCCAACACAGAACTCTGCACGATCTTGGACTGGAGGCGTGTCGTGTCTCGTGGATCAGGAGCAAAGACAATGGGGGTTATGCATTGGTTCTCCCCGTCTCCGCAGTTATGAAAGCTGCTGCAAGCAGCTGTAGGAGGACGAAAGATGTGATGCTCCTGGCAGGTCGCTCAAAAACATGTTTGGGAAGCATCGACGACGGCCAGTACACAAGCTGGGTCAAGGGAGCAAGGAACAGTCGAGAGCAAGCACCTTGACAGCGCTGTCAAGGCAGTAGCCAACGTGTAAGGTGCCAGCCTGAGCCATGCGTGACAGACCGTCGAAGATGTCACGTTCGGAGGCCTGCTGAGGCCCTGACGTCCACATAAGAACCTGGGCTCTGCCGTAGCGATCCTGTCCGCACTGTGCTTCAGAAAACATGTCGCGAGACCACACACCCTTAATGCCATCATGTACCGCGGCGCTGCACTCTCTGTTCGCGCTTTCAAGCGAAAGACTCATCTTGATGGAACACTGCCGGGTCCGACAAGCAAGAGATGGCAGAAGCCAGGATCGACGAAAGCCCCAGCACAGATGCTGCATAGCTGATTTGCGCATCTGACAAGGCAAAGTCTCCTCAGCTTGTCAGCTTCCACCACGTCTGCGGAAAAGTACCCTACGTGTGGAGCAACAGAGGATCGTGCTCGATATCTTTCATGCTCGAGGGAGCTGGCTAGTCTGGGTCCGTTCCCCGTTCCCCTTGCCACAGCTGCTAAAGCATTGTTTGCAGACTCGAGGTCTCGATCGACTGGCCGAACAATCCCTGCCAAGCTGCTCTGGATCTGCGGCACTGCTATGCCGAAGATCGTCCTGTCAAAGTTACCTCGGAGAGCCACAGCCTCTCCATAAGTTGCTGAATGGCCGGGCAAGGACAAGGCACAGCCATGCGATCCCTGACCCATTGGCAACATTGAGTATGCCTTAGGATTCCTAAAATTTTCGGCGGCGACTGACGTCACATTCAGGCCGAAGGCGCCGAAATAGCCGGCTGCTTGGAGAAGGGCGAGCACCTTCCATTGCCTCTTTGCAGCTTGACCGCTGGTCTCTGCTGTAACCCAAACTGCAGAGCCTTGACGTCAAGCGAGGTGGTGGCAAGCCACAGATGCTGAGGCGGCTTACAAGCCTGGGCAGGGATCACGGACCCCTCAATCCGCTCGAAGTCCCTGCCAAGCTGCTGTGGTGTGAATCTGGGCGATGCATCCCCTCAGTCTCTCATGTTCAGATTCGTTCAGCCAAGGTTTGCTGCGCCGGCAGCCAAGCACAACACACAGAGCAAGCAAAGCAAGAACATGAAGCGTAGTCGTAGGTCTCCCGGCCGCTTTGCGGCTTCTCTTCACGGGCTTGGCTTGCGTTTGCCGCATGGCTGGGTAACCGATGCATGCTGATAGGAGAACCAGTTCGGTGCGCTAATTCCAGCAAAAAGACTGCGTTACGATTCCATCATCTTCGTGGCGATGTGTCTCAATGATCCATCGCTACTGTGTTAAAGTACGCCCTATAAGACGTAGGAGGGCAAAGCTGCAAGTGCAGGTCGGGCAATGGTTTAAGCGTGCGACATCACATGACCTGGATCAGTTCAAGGAGGCAAATTTCCACCTCCACACGATGACGCCATCTTGCAAAAGTGCAACAGCAGCGTCGCGGACACCCCGAGCTGCATTGCTGCTAGTAGCAAAAGTTTGGGTAACTTCAAGTCTTCGACTCGAAGGGATCTACGCGGGCCAGGGGAAAATGAAGGCGGGAAAAGCACTGTACAAACGCCTCCTCTAAGACAGAGCTCGAGGAACAACACTGCTGCCAGGGCTCTGGATTGCCTGTGCTCCCGTCCAATTCAAGGCACCTGGCCCCCGAGCCTAGGCCCGGGCCTTAAGATGATGTATGATCTCAACATGAGCACGCCTTGATGCACGTTCGCTTCTTGTGTTTCAACCCTTCTCAGCCTAAGGACGTGACGGTTGGATACAGTCGGCGACGGAGGTTATGCACCGCCAGTACGAGGCGCCTGAGGCCTGGTGCTCGGCCAGGTATGCTAGGACATAGGATATCATGCCCTGTTCGCTGCACTGCTCTCGGCTAGAAGCTCATCATGACCCAAAGTCCAATGAAATAAGCAATGCTTACAGGAACATGATCGCACGGCAGCAGGAGTGCAGTAGTCTAACTCTGCTGTCATGCTAGCTGCTAGCTGCTAGCAGTGATCGCGGCGAGTCTCAACAGAGCAGTGCTCACTCAGAACCGCTCGCCCAGTCGCCTGCTCGAATCTAGCTCCCTTTGGCGAGCTCACAATTCGAATCTGACATAAGCGCCGAACAAACCGTTGCAACCCTTTGCCTTGCAGCCGATGAAACGCATGACGGAAAGCCAAAAAAACAAGCACCATTAAACTGCGAATTCTCATGAACCACCCAGCAAAACGATGGAAGGACTTCTGCTGGTCTGACAACCTCACGTACGTCAGCAAACGGATAGCACCATGATATGCCGCGTGGCATTTCGATACGTATATTTCGACTCACACACTCGCTCACGGCTGGCATGGCTTCGGGTCTCTGAGCACAGATGTGATTTAGGGGTGGTGGCATCTCCAACTTTACCTGTCGCCCATGATGGGCATGACCGTAGCATCCCTCTCGCTATTGCTGTGTAGATAGGTTATTTGTCTAGAGCCAGCCCTACACGACGGACGGCTTCTGGGAAAGACCGCTCACAAGAGAACAGCAGCTGCATTTTGTTCCGACATCGTAGCTCTTTGGGTGCACCACTGCGTTTGCAGTGAGCTTTTCGTCGAGAATACTTCGCAAGTCGTCCGAGACTCCTGAGGAGCATTTGTTAGCAGTAAAGGGTTTCGGATGTCGGGTTTGCGCTATTTGCTCAAAATTTGCCCTAACAGCAAGCAAAAGTTTCTGAACCCCTCGCTGAAAACCTGCCCAAGCTTTGGACCAAGTCTGTCACACATCTTGTGTTCAGACTGCTTGTGCTGTCTATCAGGTACAAACACTGAAAGCCGTCCACCAGGGTTGAGCTTGATTCTCAGATTCTGGAACAGCAAGTCTGAAGCTGACAAATCACGTAACATTTGCGGAAGTCGTCGTCCGGGCCGTGACGCGATTTCCGCAAAAGACGCGGATCATCCTCAGGTTCCCTGGAGGCGCAGCAATGCAAGCCTACTGAAGGGCACGTCCCGAAAGCGCAGCTGGCTGCTTGGCCAAAGGACTGCCACCACAGAATCTATCTTGCTGAGGTGATGAGTTGTGCTTGTGCGGCCAAGCTGCCAGCAACAACATGTTTATGCAACACGCAATGGCACCATCGCACCATGCTTGGATCTTTGCTTCAACTAAAGCTGGCTCTTGTGTGCCCCTGCTCTCATCAGCTCATTCAATAACTTCCTACCTTCAAAGCCATGAGACAACAAAAGCGAGCACGGTCAGGGTAACAGGAGCCGGCAGCAGCAATAGCAGCTATCGAACAAAGAGTTGTTGTACTCAAATCATTTCAAAACCATGGATGGCTTATCTGCACTGATTTGAACCCAGCACCTGCTGCATCATGCTGCTCGCCTGCACACCACCGTCCGTCAACCGAACAAGAAACCGGGCTGCAGTCATTTCAGAGGCCCGACATTGGTCACACGCCTGGGCATCACAGCGCAATTAGAAGCCTCTGTGCCCTTCCCTCCTCACAGTCGGCACAACAGACTTCAAGCCCAAGCCCAACAGGCATCCACTTGCATCAGAGCGTAGGTACGGCAGGGACTCCACAACTTTTCAGCTCAATGGCTGAACGGGGGATCGCGAGCTGCTTGTTGGTGAAGGATCAGTGCCAAACCCATTTCCATTCTCTCCTAGCAGCAGGTTTCGGTCCGTGATGCGACACTGCCTTTGAAACAAGCCGAAGCACTCGCGGACACCGACCAACACGATTACATCTTATGCGCCTGTGTCTCATCCATTCTCCGCAAGTCTTTCGCAAGCTTCGCCTGAAGAAGTGGAACTCAGCAAAAGCAGTCTCAGCTCCCACAATATTTGCTGCTACTTTTCCAGTATCGCCATTCGGCCTGGTTTGGCCATTAAGTTCCGTGAAACTGTTGTTCAAGTCCGCCGCCTGTAACTTACACTACCGCACAGAACAGACACCCTCAATTACATAACAAGTCCAGCAGCATAGCTCTGGCGCAAAGTAAAAACGTCTGCAGATCTCGCGGGGCCATGAAGCTGCATACCTGCGCAAGCGTGCCGCGATACTTCTCCATTGCTGGTCGTCTGCTCCCATTTATTTATCGCCATCCAAAACCCCACAACATACTGTCCAAGTTTTCGTCGCTTCAACAAACTATTCGGAGCCCCTGTTTATGCAGGAGATTGAAAGTGCGCAGACTATAGCTGCAAGATGCTACAAACATGTTGAAGGTACATAACCACAACACAAGTATAGCAATCTACGCCCGAACAACACAACGACCATAATAGGGAGAACTCTGCCGGGTGCCCACACACTTGTGGCACGGCGTTATGAGAGTTAGACAAAGTTCATTGGTTACCATGAGCACCAAAACGTTTAGCACAAAGTGTCATTGACGGGTAAGTCCATGTATTGTTGCAACGTGACGGTCTGGTGTGCACATTGGGAATATAACAGTATTTTGAGCTTCGATATACTTCGCTGAACATCCTGGAACACTTCGTGATGCGATTCCAACCTGACTTACACAATACTTAAAATGAGATATTCAATACATACCAGTAACATGTAGTATGCATGATGCCACATGAAGATACATGAAGTATTCATACATAAAGGCAATCGCTCCTTCTATCTCCCAAGACCTCCCCCCTCCGCAAAGCATTTTCAGCTGGTTTTCATGTAGAATGCCTTGAAGGGGTCCCCCCATCCATCAGTGTGAGCAACAGCTGATGGTTTCGTGCTCTGCCTTCGACGTGGCTGCTCTCGAAGGTCGCTTGTTTTGCGCCCGGCTGCACTACGATGTGAAGAGACATGTCCCGGTGTTGGAAATGCTCACCTACAAAAAGTTCGAAACAGGGGGTGTTCAGACTTGGAAAATGAACCAGCAAGGAACAAAGACTTCAAAGTTGAAATTTTGCACAAACATCACTACGCCTTGAGTCGTTTACCAGCCTGGGACTAAGGGTTAGGATAATTTGTGGTGGGTTCGGGAACGTTTGGTAAAAAGACAAATTTTCTGGCTACCTCGGCACTGTCGTTTCTTGCCGGATTTTTCGTGGTTCCCCGGAACTCTGCTCACGAAGCCCCCATGGTTTTTGAACTCTGCACGCCGATGCCCTCGGGCTGGGGTGTTAAGCCCCCGTTTGGGGGTGTTTGGCCAGCCCGCGTTCTCGGCGCCAACATCGGAAATTCGGCTCCAGAAAAAGTGGTTTGGCCATCGACACACCATTCTCCATGAAGTTGACTGATGTGAGTTCACTGGGCAGATCAGCCAGGATCAATCCGGTGACATCACTCAAAAGGTATTCCAGGCATCGACATCGCCAGCATTCACCATGAGGTGGCCTCATGTAAGTGCACTAGGCAGCTCAAGGATCAATCCTGTCACATCACTTCAAGGCCAAAAGGAGAATGCCTTGTGTTTGTCAGTGGGGCCTCCTCGTCAGTAAAAGGACAGAGCGACGGTGCAGTAAACACACGCCCAGCTCTCTCCATGTATCAGGACACAATCAGGCCCATGCTGATCAAGCACAGCAGTTCAAGGCTTCTGGGTTCAGTGGTTTCGGTGCACACACTCGGACAACCCAGGCGAGGCATGTGGTTCGAAGTCTGTTGAGTCAAACTACAACTCGAGAGTTCAGGGGTTTCAGCGCTCACACTGGGACAATCTTCAGGGGTTTAGGCTCACTGGCCCAAAACCCAAGGGAATAAAAGATGAAACTTTCAGAGTCGACTACCTTATAAGAACCCCAAAAGTTGAAAAGTTGAGTTTACAGCCAATAAGTAGGGTTTCTGCGTTCAATTCTTCTGGGCTTGGTGATTTGGGGTTTCTCGGTTTGGTGTTTATGTGGGGTTTCGGTGATTCAAGGGTTCTGGGTTTAGGGTTTCTCGGTTTAGGTTTGGTACCACTCACTAACAAACCCCTTCTCTCCTCAAACAAGCACCCACCTTGTTTTTGCATTAGGGGTCTGCAAGGCATTATTGTAATGCCTTACCCTTTCCCTCTGTGGGTCGGGCCCGCGAGGCATTCTTTCGGAGGGGTGGAGATAAATTATGCATCAACAAGCAGGGTATGACAAAGAATGTGTTCTATACAGGTTGCCATACAAAGCTATAAATCATAGATCATACACTTATTACAACGTCTCACGGGCAGCATACTTGTATTACACATAAGAACGTTCGAGAGCTGAATTGAGCCATGTCACAACGTTCTGTAAACTCGTCCACACTGATTGTGTGATCACCGTCCTCCACTGAGTTTGAGCTAGCAACCTTTAGCACGGCAAACTCGTCCTGAAAGGCTTTGTCGGCAGGGCTCTGCGCACGTGCTTTGCACTGTGTTGGTTCGGAAATGCCGTGGAGGGCCGCGGTAGTGTCCAAGAACACCGTGTGAGAAGATGTGGCTGCTCCTTGTCCAAGCTCATGAAGAGTGTCCAAGCATCCATGGCACCGATTTGGAGATACTCGAACCTTTGATCGCAGCCACTCGTTCTGGATCACACGCACGCCCTTCCTCCTTGCAACCAAGCAGCAGTGCTTGCACTGACTCATCATCAAAGTGCTTCTCGAACTCCTTTGTGCAAGGAACGAAGAAGCTGGCTCGGCAGCGAAGTGGTGTCTCCAGAGTGATGCTGTTCGCCGCATGTGGACATCCCGAACTGACACCATCACGGAAGCAAGCCTTTTTGGCCCTAGGGTTACACAGCATATCAGGTGCCACGAACTGCTCGAACGTTCAAGAAGACAGTCTGCCTTTTCACAACAGTGAAACCCGAACATAGCGCAGGAACACAGCGCAGGTCTTTCTCCAACTGACGGTGGAAAGCCGTAACACAGAAGATTGTCCCCACATGGTGCAGGTAAGGATCGGTAATGGTGAGATGCCCGAGGCCTCTTTGATCAATCCGCTTGAACAAGTTGCTCACCATCTCGGTCGCAACTGTCAATCAAGGAACCACAGTATGCACTTCCCCACGTAACGTGACTTCGTTTATGACACTCATCCTTCGATCTTATGATGTGTCTCCTGTTGCATGCATTCCGAGCATCGTCTTGGTAGTCACGACGAGTTTGCATGACCTGTGCCACCACCGTCTCATGGTCGCGTTCCGCTGCCTTTATTGCCTGGGTTCTGCAGCAACTAGGAGGAAAGTGCACTCTCTTGTTCTGTAACACTGTAGTGGTTCCTAGCAAAATTTGAACAAATCCAATAGAAAAAGCTGCTAAGCAAAAATTACCAGAGCCGAGCATCGCTGTTGCAGAACACACCAGTCATGACCTGGCAAAGACTAACTAACTTTGTTCTGGTGCCGGCAGCCCCCGAATGGACAGGACACCACTGTGAGCCCCTTCAAATAAATGAGGGGCAACCATATGACATGAGTGTGATAGTGCAGCCAAGACAGGCGAGAGACAGCACTAAACAGCTCATGCAGTCATCCAGTCAAAGAAGCAACCAACCGAGCCTGGACACAACCAAGCCAAAAGACAAGCCACCGAGGGCCTCAACTCACACACGCCAGGCACAGAAGAGCCTGTGTGGGCGAGCAAAACACAGAGAGCAAGCCAAGCGCACGGTCTCACGCCGCCAACGCCAAACAGCAGAGTCTGGGCAGGCAGCATAGAAACCATGAAGCAAGCAACCAACAAGCACGACCAAAGCAACCAAGTTAGGACTAGTGCAGGGGAGTGAATGAGTGAGCGTGGGGCGTGAGAGTTAATTGCAATCGCATGTGGAGTTGTCGGAGCTCTTAAGCCAGTCACGACCGTCCTCAACACTGATGGTGTGGTCACCATCCACGTCCAGACCTGATACTGAGGAGAGATGACTCCTCATGAGAAAGGAATAGAAAGGATCATGCCGGGAGAGGATGATCTGTTGATGATGCTTGACAAAGATTTGCATCGTCCGCACACTGACGCTACAGCTAAGGCTAAGGCAATCTCCCGGTGTGCGTGTGTGTGCGTGCCTGCGACACCCTGTTTCGAGCAAAGGCTGACAAGCAGCCCATGAAGAGCGTCCAGGCATCCATGGCACCAACTTCCAGTAGTAGTAGTAGTAGTAGTAGTAGTAGTAGTAGTAGTAGTAGTAGCAGTAGTAGTAGTAGTAGCAGTAGTAGTAGTGGTCGAAGAGGACGGAACACTGACGCAGGTGTAGCCGCCCGCCGTCTCCCGAAGGGGCCAATGCTAGTCAGCGCGTCCAGCTAAGCGCCGCAGTCTGCGGCGGGCTTGCACGACGGTCTTCAAGCTTTCATGCCACTCATTGGTGGCCTCCAGCTGCGTGCGAAGCGCACGCCAAGTCCACTCCTCCGCGTCTGCGACGGTGGAGCGAAGGCGAAGCCTCCAACTCTCCAGTTTCCGAAGCTGAGCCGTAGCAGCCGCATCTGCCGCCTCATTCATCGCCCGGCACTGCACAGCATCAGGCCAGTGCAAAGGCGGATGCCAGCCCTCTTTTTTCCCATGCGACGGGATCCAGCAAACATCCAGAAAGGGGAGGGCCTCCTTGACGTCGTGCCAAAAGGACCAAAGTTCGACTTCGCTCCGATCGTCCCGTCGCCTGCGCTGGCAGCCCTGGACGATAGCAAGGTTGTCGACCAGCACCCGAACACGGCGCTGAGCCAGCACTGCCGCCCTGCACAGGACCCCGAAAGCGGTCCGCTCGCCAGCAGCTGCAGTCTTCTCCTCCCCCTGAACCAAGCCAGAGAAGTCCTGGTCGCCCACCACCAACGGTAGTGCTCGCCGATCTGCATCGCCCCGCCGGACGTCGTCCTCTGCAGTGGCCAAGAACGCAGCCAAGTTGCCCACGTGCTCCTCCTCGTCAACCTGCTCGTCAAGCGTGCAGCCCGCGTCCTCCACCACAGCGCACAGCAGACGGCGCTCTTGCACCGTGCGACGCTCCCCGGTCCAGGGCCTGAGAGGGCACTCGAAGGTGAGGTGGTGGCGAGACGGAGCAGCAACGCCACATGTGCATGCCTTCGGAGCATGCAGATCGCGGCCGTCAAGCTCTGCCGTAGTCTTGGTGTCCTTGGCCCAGAGAACTCGCCGCCAAGCCTCCCGCAGCCGCTCCTGAAAGCCAAGGGTCGTGAGCTCCGCCGCCTCGAAGTTGCCCAAGACGAACGCGCCAGCTGAGCTTGGCCAACGCCGCCTCCACTTGTGGGCCCTGAGAGCCCACTCCGCCACTGCCAAGTCGGCGCCACTCCTTTTTCAGGACCACAGCCAGAATGGCAAACTCCGGGTGCAGGTCAACGCCAACAAACGTCCACAGCAGGTAGGCCGAACGGCCAGTGGCCAAAGGCCCTCCCCAAACAGCCGCCTCCACCTGGTGCGACCAGTCACGGACGCTCGCTTTGCTGAACCGAGTCCAAGGGGCTCTGAAGCGAAACTTCGACACCATCAGCAAACTCGCCAAACGTGCCCGCATGGAAGTGCTGGCGGCAACTCTGCTGATTCGCCTCCCCCGGGTCCTCAAAGCGTCCGTAACGTCCTGAGCCGCAAAAGCCTGGTGACCCTCCAGCCTGTAGTTGATGCCCAGCAGCAAGAAGTCCGTCTGTGGCACCCCCAGCAAGTCCGCGTGCTCAAAGAGGGCCTCGCGCTGCTGCAGGTAGCACGCAAAAGAGGCCAACTTGGCGCGGTCGGCTTTTTGGCCAGCGCTGGCAGCTGCGACCAGGTGCTCCACAGCACGGACACCCTTCGTGTAGAGCGTTCTGTCGTCAAGAAAAACGCCAAAACGTACAGAAGGAGTCTGTCGCTGGACGTACAGGGTCCAGGTCGCCATCATCGCGTTCAGGAGCAACGGCGAAAAGGGGCAGCCCTGCAGCAACGAGCATTGAGTTTTCACCGGTTGCGTAGTGAATATACTCGATACTGAAACCCACCGTTCTTGGTTTCTGTAGAAACTGCCCAACAGCGCCGTAAGCCACGGAGGCGAGCCCCACCAATGCAAGACGCGAAGTGCAGCAGTCGGAGACACACGATCAAAGCACTTTCGCACGTCAGCCTTGCATCCCACGAAAGTCCGCGCCGTAGCTCGACGTTGAACGAAAGTGCCGAGGTCCTCGTGGATGGTGTCGGCCGATCGCCCCGGAAGCCCGCCGCAAAGTTCAGGCGGCATCCAATGCCCATACCACGACTTGAGCTGGGACAGGAGCTCGGAGGCGCCCACTCGCCAGGCCAACTGCGTGAAGGCTAGAGGCCGCAGCCCACCATCGGGCTTGGGGATGGCCACGACCCGAATCTGAAGCCACCCATCTGGCACGCCATAGCCCTGGAGCACCAGCTGCCACACTTCGCTCAAGCGCTCAAAGAAAGCCAAAGGCAACTTGGCAAACAAAGCGCCCGACCAGCCGTCCAAGCCACCAGCCTTGTCCTTGGCCCGTCGAGCCCTGCGCAAAAGCAAGTGGCCGTCCAAAGTCACGCCTCGGTCACAGGGAGCACGGTCCGGGCCCAGCTCGCCGAGGAAGGTCTCAAGGAAGTTCATATCGACATTCTCGGCCTCACCCCAAAGCTTGCCCAACGAGTCGGTGAGCCGCTGAGCCGCCGCACCTTTGCTAGGACACTCACCCAACTGTTGTGGCGAGGAGTCCTGTGCCGTGATCCATTTGGCCATGGCTCGCACATCGTCCTGGATGTCATCCTTCCACCGCCGGATGCGTGCAGCACGCGTGCGCTGCGCCTCCAAGTCCGCCTGCTCGTTGAGGTAGTAGGCCAAGTCCTCGTAGGAGCGCGCATCGAGCACGCCGGGGAAGTCGCCGCTGAAAGCCTCCACGTCACGCTCGAGCTTCGCCTTGAGCCGCGCAGTGCAACCACGAGCCCGTCGGGCAACCCGCCGCAGCCTGCGCTCCAGGAGTGTTTGAACGTCACGGCATCGTCCTTGGTGTCGCTCCTGTACCATGGGTCGTCCCGGCTCCGCACGAGGTTTAGCACGCCTGCCCGCTGGGTCCGCCATCGCCTCCTCCGCTGCACTCGACAAGGTTTGCCACGCCTTCGTCACGTCGTGCTCCGCAAGCGCCGCCTCAAAGGTGGTGACGAAGTCCAGCCAAACCGTGTCCCAGTTGGCCGGCTCGGCTTGTAGCAACCGCCGTTGTGGCTGCCAGCGTCTGGTGTCCTCCTCCGAGTGGGCCCGTAGCTGGTAGCTGCCAGATCGTGATCAGCCACCCCAAGATGTTGCTCACGATGGTCAACAAGCAACCTGGGCGAACTGAGGCCGAAGTCAATGTGAGTCGTGAGCCTCCCTCCTCAACGATGCGTGCCATGCCGAGGACATTGGCCACCATCCATGGTCCAGACGATGCCCTTAGCCAGGTAGCCAGCCAGTGGGAAAGCGTCCTCGGTTCCAGTCGCCCAAGCAGCACAAAGTCCTCGCCCGTGCCCCGAGCCCACTGCACCACCTCCTGAGCCACAGTGTTGCCCGCCACCTTGTCGGCCGCATGCAGGTAGACGCTCATCACCAACACCTTGATGGCCGACACCCTGCCTCCAAACTCCAACTCCTCCGGAATCGCCACAAGCTGGGCCGGGACGTCAGTGATGAAGGCCGTCCCTGATGAAAGACCCAGCCAGCAGCACGAAAAGCGGCCGCGGTGGACTTGAAGAAGTCCGCCGAGACCATGGTCTCTTGCATGGCCAGCACGTTGATCTTCGCCTCGGTAGCCAGTGCACTCACGGCCCCAACTTTGCCGGTCAATGACCGGACGTTCAAAGTTCCCACCCGAATGCTGCGGGCCGAGCTCGTCATGAGCCCTGCCCCAGTCCCACCGCCAAGGCTGCAACCTCCTCCCCCTGGTCCTTAGCAACGATCGGGTAGCCGAGGCGCTCAAGGATGTACTTTGCCGCAATGGTCCGTGCACCACCCTCGGCGTTCACATAGTCCCGCAACTGGGCAATCGCACGGTTGGGCCGTCGGTGCCCCAACCGGCTGCAATGGCCCTTGATGTTGCCCTCAGCCTCGGAAAACGCCCCACAGCCGCTGCACAGGAACTTGACTGTCCAATCCTCCCCCGGCCATGCCATTGCCTCGATCACATGGTTGGCCTTGGACCCTGCGCGCTCAAGGCCCTTCTCCAAAGTTGTGACAGCATGCTGGGTCGCCGCCTTGATCGCAACGGGGATGTCCTCGTCCTCGAGCCGGCTCCTCAACCGAACCAGCATCTTTCGCAGCGTGCCCGGCACAAAGCTTATGACGCAGTCCCGCTTTGCCAGGTCAGCAGCTGAACGGCATATGTTACAGCATCCCCTGCAAAACAAACGATGCACCAAAGTCTCACGCCAGACGCGCTTGCG